CACCTGTTTTGTTGAGAGTAGGGTTTGTGAACACACAGCTTCACTTCAGTAAATGCCTAGAAATTATGGATTGAATACACGTCAGTGTAAAAATATGAGACAGGTTTTGACCTCAGTGGCTACTTTGATGGAACTGAATAACAGGTTGTCTAGCTAATTGTTTTTCACTGGCCCTCATCATTCAGCGCATACATAATTTCTAGTAAAATATTTAACAGTATTTCAGCTGAAATACTGGCTTTTGACAAATAAAATGCATGTGTTACAGTAGTAGATCAAATGCATATGTTTGTTTCCATGGTTCTGTATTTGTAATGTTAAAAACACTGGGAGTGAACAGAAACTACTGGTTTGTACAATAATTAGGTTATGAAAAATGTATATATATATTTTTTCTAATTTCTATTTCTTATATATGGGTGACATGCTGATGCTGTGGCAGTGGTTAGCGCTATTACCTCACAGCAAAAATGTTCTGGGTTTGAGCCTGGGCCGACCTGGGGCCTTTCTGTGTGGAGTCTGCATGTTCTCTCTGTGCCTGTGTGGGTTCTCTCAGGGTACTCCAGCTTCCTCCCACAGTCCAAACACATGCAGCTTAGCTTGATTGGTGACTTTAAGTTGCCCGTAGGAGTGAGTGTGGGTGTGTGCGGTTGTCAGCCCTGTGATAGATTGACGACCTGAGGACCTTGAGGACCCCGCCTCTTGTCCAATGTCAGTAATTTTCTCCAGAGTTTGTACAGTCATACCTCAAACATTTTACACCCAGAAACTTCTGGATTATACTGTTCAGGGAAAAAAGGAAGCAGTGGGTCAGTATTTTTGGCAGGCAACTTGGAAGTCTAGTGGCAATGATGGTTGTGATGGCAGCCAGAGTGTCTGTCCTGAAGTGGCAGATGCTGTTTTTGGTCACAGCAACTCTGTGTTCATAATTTCCTCATGGACTCTCCTGACCATCCCTACATGAGCATATGTACACAGCTAAAAAAATGAAGGGAACACTTAAATCACACCTAAAATCTTGATGAACAAATTATTCAAGTTGAAAACCTTTACTAATGAATATTGTACAATTTGTTCAGAACAAAGTGACTTAACAACAGTCAGTGGAAACCAAAATCATCAACCCATGGAGGGCTGTATTCAATATTAAACTGAAAAACAAAGAGAAAAATTTAAATCATGGCAGCTCATAATGTGACTCAGAAGCATGCATGGCCCCACATGCCTGTATGCACTCCCAACAACATCTGGGCACACTCCTGATGATTTAGCAGATGATATCCTTGGGGATCTCCTCTCAGACCTGGATCAGGGCATCAGTGAGATCCTGGACAGTCTGTCAGAAACATGCAGACCAGTAGCTGCTGGAGGTCATTTTGTAGGGCTCTTGCAGTGCTCCTCCTGTTCCTCCTTGCACAGAGGAACAGATTACATTAGATTAGATTCAACTTTATTGTCATTACACATGTACAAGTACAAGGCAATGAAATACATTTAAGTGCAATAACAGCAGTGCAGAATGTGAGTATCTACAGTCTGTACAGTCAGAACTAATTTACTGATGGATATGTACAATTGATATTTACAGTAAGATATATAGGGTAATGTACAATATACAACAGACTTTATGGATTTAAATGACAAATAATGGATAATGTACAGTAAGCTTATAAAACACTAGTGCAATGGGATGAGATGGAAAGAAGCTGTGCAGAATAAGAAGATAACAGTAAGTTACCTGAGTGAACGGTTCAATGGATGTAAATAGTGCAAAGATAAATATACAGTATCTGCATATGTACAGTAGAGTGTACAAATGAATAACAGCAGTATTCTGTGAGTATGTGCAAATTAACAGATCGCTTCATTGTTACAGGTAACAGAAGTGTATTGAATTAGTCCTGGGAGGAGAGATGAGAAGGGGTGAGGTGTGTTGAATGGTATAGAAGAAGGCAGTGGGCGTCAACGGGGGACAGAGTTCAGTAAAGAGACAGCTGTGGGGAAGAAGCTGTTCCTGAGTCTACTGGTCTTGGTCTGGAGGCTCCTGAAGCGACTCCCAGAGGGCAGGAGGTCAAACAGTTTGTGAGCAGGGTGAGAGGAGTCCTTGAGAATGCTGTGAGCACGTCGGAGACAGCGTTCCCTGTGGACACCCTCAGTGGCTGGAAGTGGAGTCCTTGTGATGTGTTGGGCAGTGACACTAGCAAAACACAAAACTTGAGATGAATCATTCAGGAAGGATAAGGAAAGAGTATTTGTCTGTGGCCACCACATGCAAAATCATTCCTCTTTTGGGGGTTGTGTCGCTTTTGCCTCTCCATTGGACCTGTTGTCAGGTGAACCTGATTCACAATCACTAGTACTTCCTAAATGGACCGATTGATATCCCTGAGGTTTAATTCACCTGGTGCTATGCTGTGATGATTAAGTGTTCCCTTCATTTTTTGAGCAGTTTACTTGCTTTCAAAGAGGGAAGGGCAGAGTGCTCTTTAAATAGATGTTCAGCTATGTATAGTGTGTGTGTGTTTGAGCCTGGTATTACTCACATTGTGGGTACTAGTATCTGTTTACACATACACTCACACTGTGGAGACTTCACCGTAGGGAATAGCTGCTGGTCTCCACCATGTCATTAATGAGTAAGGGGCTAGGGACTGTTTTATGTCAAAGTCTCTCCTCACAACTACAGTACAAAAATACCTGCCTTTATGTGTGTGTTTACAGTGCAAAGTCCAACCCTACACAAACAAGAATGAGGTCTTCATGTGCAGCTCCTGTCAGAGCTCTGGCCTCTCTCCAGCTCATTTTCTCCCTCTGGAATCAGCTGTTTGCTGTCCAAGTCCATATTCTCCTTGGCTTCAGGTTTTCAATACCCTAACTTCTCAGGTGTAACGGAGACATTCCCTTTCAAGTGTACTTCAAAGGAAATGTCAGATGATATTCGCAAGGACATATAGATTCTCTGTCTTTCTTTCAAGCGCAAACCAGCTTTCTCATTTCTCCCTTACCTGAAGTCACTCAACCAAGCTTGGTTTCGGCATGAGGAGAATCTCGGAGTGTTTGGCTACTGTATGACAGGTGTGTGACCCACTCTGAGAATGTGGACTGAAGAATAAGTGTGTTTCTAACCTATCATGTGTTGCCTTTGCCATAGATACTGAAAGAAAAACACTCCAACACTCACACTTTTTCGTCTTCCAGTGACAGAATGGAACACTGAGTGGGTAGAAACAAAACTGTGGTCAACCGGCGGCGTTCCCAACCACATTTTTGACACACCCTCCATTTAGTCTAGCTTTTTTGCTTCAGATCCCTACTCTTGACAAGAAGCAGAAAACAAAATCAGCCATTTAACCCATAAAACTATGGCAAGTGAGGTGTAATTTAAGCTGAAGTATACATGTGACTTGACACTGGCCTCTTGTTGAAAGGATGACTTAGTAGCAGAAAGAAAGCGTGTATTTGGTCTGTGCATCAAGGGTTTATTCCACTCTCCAGACAGAAGCCAGCTGTGTTCCCTGTCTGTTGTTTCATGAAGCTTGTGACATGATCAAAGGAACGGCTGATCATTATCTATGTTCTTATCATTGTATGCATGCCACCTTTCAGGAGACAGATAACATTATTGCATATTGGGTTTGTGCAGAGGAGACAATGGCCTATAGGGGAAACAACTCTATCACAGACACAATTTATGATTTGGAACTTTTTGCTGTAGCAGATGAATAGTTTCACAGATGCAACCTCCTGCCTTTGCCAAAGAGGTTTAAATTACAAAAACATACAAATAGATTTCTGAGGATTTTTCACAGTTATTGACTTATATGTTCTGCTATAACATTTAAATCCTAAATGTGAAACCAATGTGATATAATTCTGACACTGTTTTCATAGTCACTTCATGGAGGTGTGCATTCTCCGGTTACATTCAAACATTTAATGTAAATGCTCCCATTCACTTGGGAAGTTATCATACAGCTATGTATACTGTAAGGTAAATCTGCCATGTGTCATGCCTTTGTGTGGACATTCCTCCTCATCAGTCATGTTATTCTTGGCCACAGGAGTACATTCTTACACCTGGCCGGGACCCTCTGCAAACAGCTCTCCTGTCGCACAAGAACAGTGAACTTCTATATGGCTCCGTCTGCCAGACAAGGAAACCATATGGCCAGGCCTTCAAATATAACAACACATACCTTTATTGGCACAAAGACAAGATCAAGAGCTAATCCAAAGCATACTTTCATAGACATAAGATTCCTAATTCCATGAAGATTAGGTCAGGATATGACCAGAATCAACTAGTTTCTTGTTTCTTCTTCTTGTTTTTATTAAGAACCCATATATATTTTAGTTTTAGATTACTTGTGTACTAGTTCATGAGAAGATTTTGTTCCCTTAATATTTGTAAAAACCAGCTGCTTTCATAATTATATTTGTAATTAGACCCACAAAAGCAAATTTCTTGGATGGATACCTAATGCAAACGTCTTGGCCAATAAAAGTAATTCTAATGCAACCGGAGACTCATTCATTGCTATCTTCATAGTCGCCTAAACTTCTTGCTACCGACCTCCTCATTAGGTTAGTGCTTCTAAGATTGAGGAATACCTCAATTTTGCCAATTTGTGGCAACATTACATGAAGGATTTTTCTGGAAAATGCATTTTCTGAACATGAATTAAACTAAATCCCTAAACAATGTGACTTTGGCTCAGGTATTCAGCCGTGGTCATTTTAGTGCAACAGTTCTTCCAACAGCATTTCCTTATACTCTGCTTTAACGATGCCAAGTCCCCACAATGTGAGTGCGTTAACAGGTTTCGGTCCCCATAATGTAAATAATATAAAGGCACGCACACACACCTACACACACCCAAACGTAGGTTTCGGGACAGTTGTTTTATTTTGAAAAACTGACAGCGGACGTAATGTGTTTCAACTTCACAACATTAGAGGCAGTTGAGGCGGAGCGGAGTAGGAGCGGTCAGAGCAAACAGCGCGCACACACCGACGCACAGAGAGGCGCACATCCCCCAGGTCTCGGCTCCTCTTCGTCCAGCTCCGCTCCATCATGCCTTCTCCTCGGAATCGTGCCCTGCTCTCCGCCGGATAAACTTTGGACATACACTCGTATCATGGGAATATATTGTCGGTGCGCTCGGCCTCGTGGATCTACAGTGCCTTGATGGAAACCATGTCACCGCAGCAGGGGACCATGGGACAGAACAGGTCCGAGTCACCGACGGGAGAGAGCAAGGCGCTTCCGGACGGTAAAAAGGTACCAGTGGCTCTTTTCTGTGGTACTGTTGATGGAGTGTCGGCTCTGGGCACAACGTCCTGATGTGCGCTTTTTTGCCCACGGAGTTCTGCGCTCATTAAGGATAAATGAGTGTATTTTAACTAAACCTCTATGGATTGTTAAACTGATATTTTACGGTATCATATCTTTCGATGTCCGTGCAAGAACTCTGTCTGATTTCAAGAGTGAGTGTAAAGAGAAGTTTTCCTTCTTGCTTTGATTACATTGTTTTATATCACTCATAATATGATTACTGCGGTTTCTTTTTCTTAACGGTCTTGCAAATCTACCGTTGTTTTGTGTGCTTCAGGGCGAGATTGGCTTTGGGTCTGGATAATGACTAAGCTGGTTTAAATGACACTTTAAACAGCAGGTTTCTTTCTTTCTTTTTGATGATGAATTTTGCTCACTGAATATTCCTTTGTGTTCACGGCGCACAGTAGCCTAATCCAGTTTTTAGCGTGTAAGAAGCCACTGCATTTTGATATTTTGTAATAACGTTACTATATTCAGATTTGTTTAAAAACCTTTTTTGTGTGTTATCCTGAATAAATCAGTGTTTGACTGAGGTGAGTAGTCTTAAAGAAACTAAATAACACGGCCAGATAATGCCGATTTGTTAAGCAGACAGAAAAGGGTAAAAAATGATTCTTACACTGCTCAGCCATCAGTCCTGGACTCTCCAAATGTAGGATACTCTTCGTTACTAGGAGAAATAAAAAGACACATAAAGCATCTCTTTTTACACTGGACCCCTTCTCTCGGTCTCTTCTATATATACAATCCACTACGATGCAGTTATTTCTTGTAGTTTTCCTCCAGTTCTGGTTACTGAACTTTATAGGGACTGGTGGAAAAGAACGATTTCTGCTAAATCTGACTAGCGAACCTGTAGTAAACAGCGCCTCCTTCAGCGTGTGTTTAAAAGGTGTAACTACACCTTTCAGCGAGCAGCCCGAGCAGAGACCTGGCAAAATGCTGCACAAGCCAGCATTTTGGTGGTAAACTTCAAAATTACAGAGTGGCTCCATAACAAACACAGACAACATCAGTGATATCCTCAGGTAGTCAAAACCTTCTCTGGTGGGATCAGAGTCTACTTTTGCACTCGGAAGTACCCATTATTATTTTTCATGTACAGTATCTTCAAAAAGAAGACTGCACCTAGTAATGGAGTTTTAATGAGAGTTCATTTACAGATGAACAAAATCAATACGTGATGGTTTGCAGTTACTGTAAATCGTACAGTCAGCAGTACTACTACATGTTACCCTCTAGTTTCTTCATCCCCCAGTACATTACAAAAGGTGCTTGTGTTTTCATGCACCTAATGTTTCTGCAGGCGTTTCACCCACTTCCCTGGCTTGCTGATAGCCTCATGAATCTAAATCTGCTGCAGCTCTTTTTTGTGCAGTTGCTGCACATTGCCCTGGTTTGGAAAGTCTTGTGTTGTCAGCCAGAGCTGATAAAACCAGAGTGTTGCTGTATCATCACTGACTGAGAAAATACTCAAGAATGTTGAGTTTCCACACGCCACCTTTCATTCAGGAGCTGTTTGTCTTCGGATGTTTGTGTCACAGTGCTGAGCTGTGCTTAGCATTCATGACATGAACATGTGTAACATGTATATATGCTGTGCATGGTATATCAGTGATTATACTGCAGAGTCAGCTAAAATGATAACACTGGTGTTTTTTTTAAGTTAATGCCTGTGTTCCAAGCTTCCTCTTTGTTTCTGCATAGTCAGCATAATTCAAAACATTAGGGCTTGATTTTGTTTCACAAGAAACTTCATTGTTATTTTCCTTATCTGTGTTTACATGTGAGTGCTTCATGCATGCAAATCCTAACAATATGATCTGCAGACCATAAAGTTAAACTGACATGAAATATACTGACAAATTTTGTAGTCAGTGTAAAAAAGATAATAGTCAACCAAGACAGTGGTTCATTTCAGGCCAGGTTTGTCACTGTGAAGTAATACAGTGCAAAGTATAGATGCATGTTTCTTTTCTTTTTGTTGTGCTAGGCTGTATTAACTGTGGCCTCTGTGACTAACATGAGTCCAGTTCCACCATCAAAAGTTGTATAGGTGAGAAATGTCACCCACATTGTCGCCCACTGCAAAAGGAGTTCAGGAAGCAAAGTCTTGCTGATTTATGTTTTTGCTTTTGAATTTTTTCAAACCTTCTCCAGACTGAATGACTGTTGGCAGCTTGTTTATGGAGTACATAGTTTTGATATGTTGTAAATAGATTAGAATGAATTGAAATAGCTGTGGTAGCCTGTCATACTTGTCCAAGGGAGTTGGTAATTTGTCATGTTACAGTGAAAACCTATCACGGATTGTCAACATTGTGCAGCTGCAAGACAACATACAGTATTTCTCTACTTTAATCCCTCTTATTTTTTTCATCTGCCTCTGTCTTTAACTATACAGCTTTAACTTCCTCTTTTCCCTTCTCACTGTTGTCACATTTCCTCCACCGACCATCAAATAGACTCAAGCAATGCCAACTGTTTGTTTTGCAATCATTTTGTCTTCTTCTGCATCACCATTATGTTATTTACACGGGATGTCAAATGGTGCAGTGCTTGCATTCACCTATTCCCTCTCTCTCTCTCCCTCTTTCTGATGGTGTAGAAGATGAAAACCTTGGCCCAAAGACGACAGTCAGCTCCCTCGCTGGTCATCAGCAAAGCACTTACAAGATCGAGAAGCACATCAAGGTATCAGCGCATCCATACACACAACCTGCTTCCATAATAAAGAGCTGCTGTGATGCTGACATCGCTGCCCTGTGGATCCTCAGTGGAGCAATGATTTCTCTCAGTAGATGCTGTTAAAGATGTAGGAACACCACTGAAAGAGAGCTGTACTTGTTTTCCTCACATATGTTTGTTTATGATTTCTCCTTCTTCTCTAAAACATTTGGTACCTTTCACTAAGAGAACATACGTTTTCATTATTATTCAGGTCCAGAAACAATGACACAGGGATTTGGGATGTAACAGCACTGATATTAGAGAAGAACAAAGTAAATCTGTGGAGCTGCTGTAGGTTAAAAACACCAGCCTGAGTGGAAAGTCTGACCAAAGAAAGTAAGCAGAAGTGGGAGGCTGTGCTTCCTGTGGACAGCTCTGAGTCGTATGCTCTCTCAGGACAAATCCAGATTGCAATAAGAAAAGTTTCAAGCTGATATTTTCACAGCATTTAGATTGTGCTCCCATATTGCCTTAAACTTGTCTCCAACGTCAGGATTAAGAGGTTGACCTCCCTGACCCATTTATGGCTTAGAGGAGGTTTAAATGTTTACTTCTTCTCCCAGAGCTATTGGGCCTTTCATCACCCTCATATCTCACAAATCCCTCCCTCTTCCTTTAACACTATCGGAAATAAGTCATTACAAACCCCTTGGAGAGGGTAGATATTTGCTAGAAGCTTTGTTTGTCTCATATACTGTGTTTAACTTTTTACTGGTGCCAGCGTTTTGGTATTTTAGAGAAAAACAATGACATGAAATCAGCTTGTCATGGAACAGCCTAAAGTTAAACCAGGAATTGTCAAAAGGAGGTGCATCAGGAATGTTGCTGAGTTGCTTATAGATAAAGGTTGGAAAAACTTCAAAATGCTCCTTCTAGCCTCTTTAGGCTCCGAAATCTAAGTTTCCATGCCATCATATTGTTTCAAGTGAGCAAGGGCTTGTTGCCCAGTGTGATGTGGTGCGACAGTCTGATGTGTTTATGATATGTGTGCATGCTAGTGGCAGTTTTTAGTGATTGCAGAGTGAGATCCTGCCAGGTTGCAGCATGCTAAACTGTGAAACTGGACCATTTAGACCAGCACTAGGGGAAACACTCCACACTGTTAAATGGGTCAGTGCTCTTGGGGCAGTGTGTGTGTGTGTGTGTGTGTGTGTGTGCGTGCAGGAGAAAGTTAGAAAGACACATTCAGTTTTCAGGCAGAGGGACAAAGAGAAAGGCAAGGTATTAAGTGAAAGACAAATAGAGGCTGACTGACAGAGTCAGCTTAGTCTGTCCAGCTTTGACCAGTGTGTGTGTGTCTTACTGGTCTCAGGAGGTATGGAGCCATGTCTTGACACTCTCAGCTGTTATCTTTAACCTCTGCCCTCTCATCAGCAGGAGCAGGAGCCAATGGGGGTCAGCTGGGGTCAGCATCTCCCATGTCAGTGAGTGTGTGAGGTGTTCATTAGTCTCTGGATGTGGATATGGGCTGTTACCGGGTGGTCAGGTGACTCAGTGGGAAAAGGTGAATGGTCATGGGAGTGATTATTGTGAGTTTCTTTCAGCAGGTACTGTACTTGAAGTTATTTTCGTATATCTTAGAAAGGCTACTGTAGTTCTTGTTCTCTCTTGTTTTATATGAGTTTCTACTTACAAGATATAAGCTCCCCCAGATCATGTCCATGCTTTGGTAACTGCTGTATAAATTCAAATTTTATTTGTATAGCGCCAAATCACAACAAAAGTCATCTCAGGACACTTTACATAGTAAGGTCTAGACCTTACTGTTATCAATATTATTACATAGGGAAAACCCAACAAATCCCCCTTGAGCAAGCACTTGGCGACAGTGGGGAGGAAAAACTCCCTTTAAAGGAAGAAACCTCCGACAGACCCCGGCTCTTGGTGGGCAGCCTTCTGCCTCGACCGGTTGGGGTGAGTGGATAGAGGAGAGACAAAAGAAGAAAAGCAACAAGACACAACAAACAATCAAACACTGGTCAGGTTGATGTGTCTGTATAATACAGTCACTTCTGCCAACAGCAGCTGGCAGTGGCTTATTCCATCATCATAGCACTCTTTATCCAAATAAACCTCACTGACTCAGGTGTTGTGTAATGTACAAAGAAAGGAAAGAAACTACCATGCTGGGTGCCATTCTTACTATAACTGAGCAGCTGTTCACTAAGTTAGAAATCAATTTATCATCAGAATTAAAGTTTTGATTCCAATTATTAAATGTATAAGAACAATTGAGTATTTTTTTTTAGGCAGCACGGTGGCACAGTGGTTAGCGCCGTTGCCTCACAGCGCGAAGGTTCCAGGTTCGGGCCCCACCTAAGACCTTTCTGTGTGGAGTTTGCATGTTCTCCCCGTGCTTGCGTGGGTTCTCTCCGGGTACTCCAGCTTCCTCCCACAGTCCAAAGACATGCAGCTTAGGTTGATTGGTGTCTCTAAATTGCCCATAGGAGTGTGTGGTTGTTCGACTAATGGGTTAGACCTGCGATGGATTGGTGACCTGTCCAGGGTGTACCCCGCCTTCGCCCGATTGCCAGCCGGGATTGGCTCTGACCCCGCTCAGGGATTAAGCGGTAGAAAATGAATGAGTATTTTTTTTGAAAGCAAGAGTAAATAGTAGAAAATGTAACTATTTGAGTTCTAGTACTGTAAAAGTCCTTGTAAAAACAACATATATTTAGTACATATTTATAGTATTAGTTTCATTATTTACAATTGCAATAACAGCACTAACAAGTCATACACACTTATTATCACTAGCCGTGTGTTAGGATGGCACATCAGCTACATAGCAGCCACTTTCAAAGTGAAATTGTTCCCATACTTCAACAGGTTCTGGTGGTTTTTTACTCTCTTCTTGTCACTCTGTCCCCTTATATCTCTAATTTCTCTGCATTCAGTGAACAACATTGGATCTTGGTGCTTGTTTCATAACAGAACTTGAATTCTAGTTGAATATCCTTTTACTTTTTAGCTCTTATTTGATGTGTTTCTACTGTTTTTCTGCATATGGACATTTTCTTTCTAAGAGAACGGCATCAGCATGCATGTAAACAAATCACAGATTATTTCTTTTTTTGCAAGATGGAGTTTTTATATTTCACACTGTCTATTTTTCTTATTTCGTCATCTTTGAGGTGAGTTCTCCTTTTGCTCTCTCTGTCCTGCTTTCCCGTGAGGCCAGGAGGTGCTGAAAAGTTTTCTGTCCTTTAGCTCAGCCACTTACATCACCTCCACACAAACATATGCCTGCACACACACACACACACACACACACACACACACACACACACACACACACACACACACACACACTTGTTGAGCCTGATCCAGAAGTATAACCTCATCCTTCAGCCTCCATGCTTATAGTCCAGGGTATTAGGGGTTCATACTAGATTATAAGTCCCCTCCCCCTCTGGCAACAGAATCTATACTACAGGGAGGAAGGTGTCTGCCCTGTAAGACATATAAACATATGACTGACTGACACCATCAACCACAATGTCACCACAAAGTGATACACACACAGACCACACACACACACACACACACAAATCCAGAAGCCACCTGACTAATAATACACATCCATGCAGACAGAGATACAAAGTGTACACTTCAACCACCTCTGTCTGTTTTTCTTGTGCCCTTGTAGACAGAAACATGTTTGTGTAAATATATTTGTCAGGATATTACTGTATTTACATAACCTCAGTTCTTATTCCAGACCTAATCCAGAACCCTGATTTGCTATAAACTACTTGAAAAAGAAAGCGCTCTTTGTTTGGAGGATTTTTGCTTTGCTGTGTGTTTCAGGCTGTTTGTTGTGCAAAATATTAAATACAAGAACACACACTCACTCACACATCATGCAAAAAACATTTCCTGCTTTAAATAATGAGCTCTGCTGAGGATATGATGGTTGATAGCCACTGGCCACTTCTCCTTTACTGACTGTAAAAAGGGAAGTGTTTCAGTATTCTGACCTCATCCTCTGTGTGTGTGTGTGTGTGTGTGTGTATATACTTGTTCCCTCTGGTTATTCAGAGAGCATTGTGTGTCAGCCAGAGATGACCATATGGATGCCTATGGAAATGATCTGGCACAGCTGTAGTCAGTTCAAGGAAGTGAGTCAGGTGGAAAGAAGAGTTGTTTGTCGAGTCAGTTTGATTTGTTTGCTTTGGTGTTTAGAAGAACCTGACTGTGGCTCCCCTCAGATCTGCAACAGCTTTTCTGGTCCTTCTTAATTCATTTTGGTTTCAGAATCATAAACTTCATTCTTATAAACCTTATTTACAGCAGCAGGCAGGACATTTTCGGCGAATGGTTAAGCCTGATTTCTTGGAGGCAAAAGGCAGAGTACAAGAAAAACTATAAATACTAAAATATTTAAATAAAGTATACTTTTTGCTTGTGTTGTGTCTTTCTCATCATGTTTACTGCAGTTTTGTTGCAGTAATGAACAAAAGCTGGCACTGTGGATTTTGAAGATGGTACAGACTGGTGTGTGTGCGGAATGACGCCTTCTTTAATGTGCATGTTAACAGACACTTTTTTTGCATTCTCTCTCTCTCTCACTCACACACTGAGCTGTCAGTTGCTGCACATCTGGACAGCCATTGTCTGGGAGAAGGAGGTCAAACTACTGGTGATGTAATCCTCCTTATGCAGAAACACACACACACATACAGGTTCAGCGAGTGATGCACAACAGAACAGCAAACACACCCACTGACTTTCTTTTCCATTCCTGTGGGCACACACCAATTGACACACATCTCCAGTAAATCATAGTCACATCTGTGACTCTCCTCCTGTAGTGATTAGCCACATGTTGCATATAGAGACAAAGGAGCAACCCAGCAGCTGTCTGTTCATTCAGTTCTTCTTTGTTCATCTTGGATTGATGCCATCAAAAACTTTGTGGTAACTGTGGAGACAAACTTGCTACCAGAGGCAAATCATTTGCA